TCATGGACAGTACTGGGTTTGGGGTGGGATAAAGAACAATCCAAAGGGAAAAAAACACCATCTGTCCCCTATTTTGACACACACGCACACATATAATATATATGCACACACAAGCCTGTATCAAGTTGGGTCGTTCTTGAGGTACCCTCCCTTCCCTGCCCCCACAGCCAGCCCCTGTTTCCAGGTTGCCTAGGACTCGGGAAGAGGCTGGGACTGTTGCTTTCCCACAAGGGAAGTGGTTGCGAAAATGTACGGGTGTTTCTCAAATGTTTTGCGTTTGCTAGTGGCATGGTGTTAAGAGGAGGCTAAAAGGAGATCAATCACCTGGGGTCCATAATTTTGAGAGCCGCTCATATTGGACTAACTTGGGAACCAAAACAACTTGTTGGTTTGGTTTGATCAGCCATTCCAAGCACCATCCACAAGGAAACCGTAACGGAAGTAACCCAGTGCTTGCCAGCACAAAGAGAGGTGGACATCCGGTGACAAACACGGGTACCGTTTGGCCGGGCCGATGTCCAAGACAATTGTGTCGACGGACGCAGCAACCAGGTTCTCAGGAAGCTATTTGTGGGTTCGAACCCGCTGTTCAAGTCCAGGCAGGCCTTGCAGGCTTCGCTTACTGACCCGCCCAGCATATTGCTGTGTGACTTGCGGGGGTTGGTATCAACTTGAACTGAACTGAGCCAATTGCCTAGTCAGGGGTAAATCGGCAGTGGGATGCCTCGGGCTGGGATCACAGGAAGACTCGGGGAGATGTGGCATCTCGAGGATGGAACGTTCTGCCAGCCAGCCATGGAATTTGACTTCATGGCTGGTGGTGCCGGCCGGGCCTGCGTTGCACCACCCTTTCCCGCACTGCGCTTTCTGACGCGGCAATGGCAGGTTGAACTCCCAGCCGGAGTTGTTCCGATGGGAGGAGGGACTGCGCTGCGAGGCAGCGCACGCCATCCATCCCATCCCATCCCATCCTTCCATTCATGATTCCTTCCAACCCATCCTGCCACCATCCTCCCTTTTTCAGATTCATCCCAAAGGTCCGAGCGCCTTCCGCCGGTCAAATGAGCACCTGGGACTCCGGGCGGCCGTCGGGTGCAGAGACCCCAGGCTCTGGTGCATCGGCCTCAGGCGCCCCCCGAGTTGCCGCTAGCTCTTTCAAAAGAATCTCGTGGACTCAAAACTGACAGGGCGAAACGTCATAAAAGTGTGCCAGTGGAAACGACCTTGTGGAAATTTAGATTTCGAAGAAGAAAAAAAATGCCAGTTCCGTATACCCGAAGCAGGAACTCCTAGCACCACCCTTGTACAACCTGAAAGGAAAACGAAGCGGGGATCTGCGAAGCACCTGACCAAAAAACATCGATCTTTGGGACCATCTCAAGATGAGCCAGAAATGCAAGGGGTTAAGTGTTCAGCCCTTGGTTGCTTGAATTGGCGGGTTGGATTTATGGGAAACCACCGGAGCACCTCCAAACTACCGGTTTGGTTCCAAACCACTAAGAGTACACCGCCCTTGTACCTACGAAAACTCAATCGTAAAACCTGGCGGCAGCGGCCAGCAGTTGGGTCTGGGCGCTGAGGATGGAGCTTTGGGTACACCATGCTGATTCCAGACCAAATTTTATGTCGTATGATGTTTGATATATTTATATTTATATATGTGCGTCTACTTATTTGTCTGAATTTATCTATTCAGTTACTTCCTTTATTTATTATTTTACGTATTGTCAACCCTAATGTAGAAAACCGTGTTGGAGACCCCAGCGTCTGCTCCGAATTGGCTGATCCCAATGTGCGAAAGAAGGCAAGCCACTCGGTTGAGCAGCACGGTAGGCCTCTATGGAAAAAGTGAACACCCTTTTGTTGGTCGAATCTAAAGAGAAACCCTTCCCACAAGGGAACCAGGATAACACTGATGGCCGGAGTTGCACCAAGTGTGTCTTTTTGGGGGAACCCCCAAAATGGCGTTGTTTTTTTCCTTTTGGTTTCTCCGCAAAGCCTACCAAAGAGGGGTACCCTTACCAAAAAAAAGGTACACCCAAGATTTCGGGTAAACTACGGAAATACTCAGCCCGGGTTCCAGTCGCCCGACGGGCAGCAAAGAAGCCCCTCTTCATTGGAAAACAGCAATGCTTGATTGAAACGTCGCACAAGTCCTAGTGCAAAGGTCTTGACATACATCAACATGTGTTTTTTGGTGACTTCCCCGAGGGCAACGCATCCAAGCTTACCCCTTATGCTTCCCCCCATGGCATACGCAAGCGTTCTCGGCTCTGAGCCCGGCACGCTGCGAGGTTCTGCAAAGGTTCTGGATCTGCGTGATTTGTCAGCGCGGTCGCCGGAGCATCGCTCGACGTCATCGGAGGCGTCGCGGGCGTTTCGCGAAACGTGCGCACGACAACAAAAAAAAGGATCTTCAGCAAGCGACGCTGACTTGACTGCGGCTCTCAGACGCTGAATTTTCTGGTCGAAACTGTTTGGGATCCGAGGCGCTTGCTCTTGGACTTAGCAGTTTGAGCCAAACAAGTGTGTGTGTGTGTGGTTGTTTCTTTTTTGGGGGTGGAACCGTTTCCAGAATGCCTTAAATGGCACCAAGGGGAGACCGACCCCCTGAATCCAAACTTTCGTGTTGGGAAAGCGGCCGGGTGCGAGGACACAGGTTCTGAACACTGCAGTCATGTCAGGCCCCAGCATGCACCCTGTAGGTTGCCCCATTCCCCAGCTACACCTGAGTCACAATTAAAAACTGGTATTAAGCGGTCTAAGCCTGGTAAAGAACAAAAAAGGCGGATATTCGGACCTGTTTTCTGACAGAGACTATCCCTTACTAATCACCTCTCTACCCGTTGTTTGTTTCTTCTTCTTTTTTTTAAAGATACGTTGCTTATCCGTTGTGCATGACTTCTGTGTCTCTCACGGGGCACATGGTCAACCTGACGGAGCGAAGACTAAAGGGTGGCGACTGGAATCGTGATGCTGGGGGCAATATGCGAGTCCGAGTAACTCTTTACTCGTTGCGACAAAAGTGCCCTCATCCAAAGTCACCCGTTCATCAGATGGTCAAAAGACTGAGTCAACAGAACACCCCTAAACCCCAAAAAAATCCCCTAAACCCCCTGAACCCATTTGGTTGGTAACCCTGGTAGCTAAAGCTTCTATTGTTCGGGGTTGGTTCCACGTTTGGGGAAGCCTCAACAGGGTGCCACAACGCGTTGGACAAATCCTGGCAAAGGGCACCGTAGCCAAGGCGGTGCTTCACCAAGCTGCAAGAAGGAATCCAGAAAGGCACCTTCGTGGGTAAGGCTGGTTTTACTCACAGCTTGCCAGATGTGCAAATTGTGTAGAGAACCTTCCGGAACCAGCTCAAAGTAGCTCTGACCTTCCCTTCTGAAGGGTTCCTACGACATGGGGATGGGGCTATTGCATTTCCCCCTGCGATTGGCCAAAACAACCACTCCAGAGTCCGATCTTTGCCTCTCAAATGATCCCCTGATCATGGAACCGATTCATTCCCCATCGCTGAGGCCGCTGCCATGGTGCCATTCATTCCGCAGCGAAAGCCGAAAACAATGTGCGGGTACACTTCGAGACTTTGGGCCCTCAGCCAAAAACAAAAACTACCGTTTTGAGGGTGCCCCTGTTTTGCCAGACATCAATTTCAAGCCCCAAACATAGGGTTTAAGAGTTGTCATTGTTCAAGCCTAGGATTGAAACATTGTCTACAAGAAAAAATGACCACAGAATGCAACCAAAAAGGTAACCCAGAACAAACAGGTGGTATCGAGCTTTGTGATTCCATTCAGCCGTTGGAGGCAACCACAGGGTTCCCCACCCAAATCAAACTCCAGGGGTATTCAACCGGTTGCATATGGGGTTTGTTTCAGGACTTTTTGGTAGTGAGATCTTATTTTGTCACAAAACCATCTATCTGGGCATCCTCCATGCCGGCCGTCCCACGGCGATGAGCTGAAATGGCGAGCTGGTGCTAGAGGGTCTGGCAAACAAGGGGGACACCCCCTTTTGCGCACTTCCGAACGAGTGGACTGGCCAGAAACCGTCTGAACTTTTCGTATACCACTAAAATGGTCTTCCCGAAAAGTATAAACTCCAGGAACTCAGGAAATGAGTTCGGCTTCCTTTTCGGAAAACAATGATCAAAATTTGGGGTCTGTTGAATCCCGTCCGCGCAGCCGACATGCTGAAAATATGCCATTCTTGACGAAGCCCCCGGATTCAAACGCAGGAGTCCAAATGAAAACCCAGTCTGGAAGGACTCTAGCCAAAACCATGCAAATATCTCACGGTTACCGCATAAATTTGTAGTTCGGTCTGCGGCCTTCAACCCTTCATCAAGTCATTGTGGCTTCACAGACACGTCTGATCAAACAAGTAGACAAGTGGCAGGTAATCACCTGTAGATGGGATGGGCTCGTCCAGGACAATTTATTGAGTTCAAGCGATTCCACAACATGCAGCACACATGTATGCCTGAGACCAGTAGCGCCCCCAACCCAGTTGGTTCTTCAAACAGGGTTATAAAGTTTTACGATCCCCTTGAAACAAAAAATCAAAACATGAGGCAGAACCACTTGCAATGGCACGCTGCTCCATTGGATTCGGGCCTTGGGTGGGTTCCACAGCTGCTGTCCTTTCTGCCGCCGCGGGATCGCTTTTGTTGAGACATCATATCCGCAGTTGCTCAGTGGCCCCGTTCGGTAGAAAAAAACAGGTTGGACCTTGCGGTTGACATATGTTCGGTGCCCAAACGAAAAAGATATTTGGAGCATCCCACTGAACTGGAAAAAAACAACACCAACTTATCCGGTGACGCTGGTAGACAAAGGGGGGCCCTTTTGTGGATTGGCCACTCATGAAATTCCAACAACGGCATGTAGAGTCTAGGCTGGTATTAGGATCCCAGCAAAGAATTATTGTTTTTGCCTGGTTAGTGGAAAACAAAGGGACCCCAAAAAGCAAAAAAGCAAAAAGGGGAGCTAATTCTGAGGAGTGTGCCACTGAGCACCCGGGCTTTTTAGAAACTTTAGAAAGTGATAGTTGCTCTTTCGCGACCTCCCCGACATCGCCCGCTCGCTCAGAGCCATCTCTTGTCAGCCAGACTTGGCCTCCGCGAACGCTTGCAACCCTGCGAAAAGTCAACTCGCTGATGGAGATTGGCCAAAACAGCAGCCATACTTGTTGTTTACCACCAAAATGGCTCCAGCACAAAAAGTGTGACGAAAGTCCATAAACTCTGGGAGTGAGACAAGCGTTTGTAAGTTTAGAGGCGAATTGATTGGTTGGCCAGACTCAGACTTAGACTTTCAGCAAAACGTTCACTTTGTGTTGGTTGAGTCTGGTACTGGATTGAAACTAAAACCACCCTCATTCCAATGGAAGCTGATAGTGCCTTGATCGAACAACATGGCATATGGTTTGGGTTTGTGCTTATCCTAACAATCATGTTTGTGTCTATTTATGTGGTACACATCCAATGGACAACTATCAACACCTTACCGCAAGCCCATGAAAATCCACCGGGGCTTCTGCTGAAACTGGGAGGCTCGGTGACTTTCGGGAAAGGAACGCTCGAATCCGGGCCGAACGGATCCGAGCCGAGGCAACAACTGGCTGGTGGAGAAAAGGAACCAAAACCAAACAACAGAAGTTCAGGAAGTCATTAGAACCTCTGGTTATATGAAGGTTCCTCAAAAAAACAGGTCAACCTTTGGTCCAAGGCAAGACAATGATATACTGTAAATGTCCCCACTCCAAGTGGATGGGGAACAAAAAAAGGAATCAAACTAAGTGCACATGAGTTGACTTTTGCCAACAATCACCGATCCCCGCATTTCCCTTTTTAGTGATTTGGATGGTGACTTTAACCTTGTTTGGCCCATTTCAGGTGAGCTTCCCTTGGGGGGGTGATGCCTCAAGTTTGAACCACTAATGTTAACCCCATATTTTGTTGACCGGGGAGTGACTGAGTGTCCCCTTTCAGGGCTGTCGGACCGGCTTATCAAATATTCCGGGTGGGCCGGTTGGTTCACATATAAGCAAACAAATAAGTTCATGTTTGCCCAAAAACATAACATATGATTATTTTATCTATACAAATAGTGGAACCCCCAACTGATTGGTTTTCTTGGCATTCCCAGAAAAACAAGGCACCAACTCCAAACACGAAAGAGCCATTTTGGCTGCACAAATTTCTGAGCCTGTTGCATATTTCCCCCCAATAGAATATGGTTCATCGCAGACCCCAGAAATCAGTTTCCCTCCAATTGGTGATTTGGTGTTTCCTAGTTACCCACAACTATTCCAGTGCCAGCAATTCCCAGCAATCCCAGCACTCCCAGTGCCACCACTTTCCCGGGTGCTGCCTGAACTCAGATGCCCAGTGGATTTCCATGGGCAAAAACAGGGCATCCTTTTTTTGGGTTGAGTGAGTTGAAAGGGAACCCTTCTTCAAATAAAAATAAATAAATTAAGAAACAATGAAGCAACCCACCGGTTGCAGCTGGGTGATCGAGTTCTTCCCCGCCGGTTCCGCCGCCGCGGAAGCCCCGGGGCTTCCGAGAGCCGGGGCTTCGGTGTCGCTCGCCTTGAAGCCCTGGACCTCGAGGCGTTGCTCGAACTCCGTGCGGTCGAAGCCCAGGGGGCTGTTGCCTACGCAGAACCGGGGGAGGGGACGACGGGACCCCCGCCCCGAAGGCCAGGGGGGGAAGGCCACAACTGGGTGGTCAACCAAGCTCAGAGAAGTAGGTTAGAACCATGGTGGCAGGGGACAACTTTTTGAGTTGGTGATGAACTTGGTGATAGACAACCCTTCAAACAACTTAGTAAGTAGAGCTTTGGGTTGTAAAAGGACAAAAATCACCCCAGTTAGCTATAATCACGGTTATATACAAACTACTGATTAAGTTCAACATCCAAGCAAGGAGCCCCAGCCCCAGAAAAACGGCCGCCGTCAAACCCGATTCTCACATGGCTGTGCTGTTTTGGAGGGAACACGCTCTTCTTGGTGGTGGACAAAGGGAAACCAAAAGGACCACCGCCAATTTGAAAGGTCTCCTTATGGAAGTCACCCCAACAAGGCGTTCGAATCGCCCCTGGTGGGATCTTGGCAACCATAGGCTTCGGGCGAGAACCGCGTTGGGTTTGGCTACGTGGCGAAACAGGTGGATGGGGATCCCTGGTGCGTTTGGTTTCAGTTTCAAAATACTGGGGAGCTTCCGAAATGGGGTGGTTTTCCTCTGACTCTTGGTTTCCTTTCAAAGCCATCCGAAAGCGGGTTTCCCAAAAACAACACACCCACATCCAATACCACCTGCTTCACAAGGATTTCGAGGTGTGTGCATCTAAACAAGGGACCCTGTGCAGCCTGCAAAATAACAAAAAAAACAACTCGGGTCCCCGAAAACTGCCCCAAAAAAGGCAGTTTAACCTAAGAAGGTGAGAAACTCACCGAGAGTTGGCAACCTAAAAGCGATGCCAGGAAGGTCGTGGAACTTGTCGATTGCCACTAGCCAGGGTCTTTCCTCACAGAGAAAAACCGGAGCTCAAGAAGAGCCCGGCAACTCCGCTGTGCTCAGATCCCCGGCTAAAAGTTGTCTATTTTTTAGTGGGTTTACTACCGAAACCCAACAGCTAAACCCAGCAAAGCTACAAAAAGCAAACAAAAAAGCTAAAAACCAGTGGTTAACCCATTAAACCCCGAAAAGCGAGGCTAACGGAGTCCCGCCTTGCGCAATGAGCACCACATTCACGAGGATCACCACCCCGGCGCCCAGCAGAAAGGAGTCAAGAGCTCCCAGCTTAAACATTGGCGGGGCCCCTCCGTCTCCTGGAAAGGAAGATCAGAGATGAGGTCTCAAGATGGGGGTCCCCCCCCACTTTTTGGTGTCCCTTTACAACCCAAAAAAGAATTGACCCCCAAACGCCCCCAACATGACGGTTTGTGTTTGGTGTCCCTTCGGACCAGTTTGTTTCCCATGACGCGACGAATTTCCCACGGAGGCAACAGCGGCGCGGGAGTCCCTTTTTGAAAAGGGCCGTTTTCAAAACAGAAGAGTCCACAACAAGATGCATAGTTTGAAGGCAACTGGTTTCCAAACACAACAAGGTGCAAAGGCTTCACTTGGCAAAGTAAACCTCCTCCCAAAACACAAAGTCCGCGAGTGGTTCACTTTTTTCAAGAAGCCTGTGTCCAAAACGCTGCAAAGTCCGCAAGGGCTTCAATTCGATGAAGCTGCTGCTCCCACACTGCAAAAGGCTAACTCTTTGAGGGAAACCCCTCCTTCCAACAAACAACCAAGTTTACTCTTGACAAAACTTGTTTCCAGAATGCAACGCCAGCAAAGGGCTCACATGTGTGTTTAAGAAGCTTGTTATCACAACCAAAGCAGGCCCGCAGAGGATACGCCCAACAAAGAACTTTGCGCAGAGCCACTTGCTTAAAGAACATTGCTTAGAGAAACTTGCGTACATGACTTGCTCAGAGAACAGAATCAGATCATGCTCTTGTGTTGCGCTGTGAGCGGCATGATGTTGCATAAAACTCGGTCAACTATGCCTAGGCTTTCGGGCCAGCTGTCTTCCAGTTGTACGCAGAGATTTTCCCAATTCATCGTGAGCTGCAGTCCTTGCTTCTTCCTCATCGCCGGCTTCCCGCCAAAGCGGTAATCTTTTGCAAAGATCCAATCATTCTTCTCCTGCGGAGTCATGTTCATTTGGCCATTTGGCTGTGGGTCAAAAATGGGTACCCAAAATGGGTTGCCCTGGTAAATGGAACCAACGGACCAAAACCTGTGGTCCCCTGGTGGTTTAATTTTGACCCACACCTCACCGACCACCCCACTGACACAACTGCAGCAACAAGGTGGACATATTGCAGGTGGTCGAGCAGCTAGACGTGTCTCAAAATGGTGAACCCGCCTTTTGAAGGGTATGAAAGGGAAGCCGAAAGGAAACCAACCATTTAGGTGCCAATTTTGAGAAACATTCATATTTATTTTCAGCTCGTTGAGACCCGTCGGCCTCTGCTAACGCGGCGACGCGGCCCCTCTGCACGTGTCCAAGAAGGGAACTGCGGATTAATAAACCCGCCTTACTACTAGGGGGTGTTCCCTCCGAAAGTGGTCTGAACCCCAATTGAAAGGGAGGACGCCGGGACCCGATCAAAACAAACCAGGGGTTCTGCTTCATCCTGGTTCCCAGTTCCAACACAGTCCTCCCTGATGGTCATAGTCCATCCTCGCTCCTTGCGTTGCAGGCTTTTGGATGAGACACCTTCGCCCGACGGCATCGCAGTGAAAGCCAGCCAAAAATATACAGGGCGCCCATCGAGAAAACTCTCTCCACAAACAACGTAACTGAAGCACGCACACACAACACATGCCACAAGCGTTTACGTTTGGCTTCAACACACCAGGTTGTTACGCGGTCCTGATTCTCAAGTTCAAAATGCGCATGGCTATGGGAGTGGGCCAACAATAGAACAAACATATCCCGCTGAGTGCTGTGTCACGCCTGAAAACAGTCTTTTGTGTTGACAATAATTAAACTCCCACGAGCCGCGGGGGAAAAATCGGCAATACTAAATTTAAATTGGCCAATACTAAACCAATACTAAACTCCTGAGACTACACATGCTTTCCACCAAGCTCCCAAAATATGCTTGTTAGGGGTCCCCACTCCAGAGTCTGTTCGCCAAACAACCCAACACAAGCAAATAGTTTTATGAAACTGACCATGGGACACTCCCTTTCGAAGTTCTTACTTAAAAGTTGCAATCTGAGCAGTTTTTGCTTCAAATCAAAGGAGATCCACTTTCCAATTCAAGTCCAATACTAAACAGCAAGCTATCAACTGAATCTAGGCCCAAGCCGGCGACCCCCAATAATAAAACTCCCCGCCAGGTTGTTTTTTCACTTGGGGGCAGGGGGGGGGGACGGTTTTTATTGGGGAGAAGCGATTATTGACATACCCGTTTCCAGAAACCTTTTGGAACAGGATTCATCCTCACATCACATGAACACAAATTGCGGGGATTATTTGCAACTGAACGCAAGAAATAACAAGTGTCTTCGCCGGCATCCTACCGCTTTGCTGCGCGTGATGATACTTGCAAAATTTGAAGAGACATGGGTCACAAAGCTAAGCTGCCGCAAAACAGTGCAGCAAGTCGGCAGTGGCTGCCAGAACTGTGTTTGTGTGTGTGTGTGCATCTTTGGCATGGCGGAGGACTCTTTGCCGCAAATGGGACTATGTTCCTCTTGAGGGTCCCCATTTTGGGTTTGGTTTGAGGGAAACCAAAGCAAAACAACACTTATCATGTTGCCATCACCACCCCCGCCCCAAACAAAAAGAAGAAGAAAGAAAACACAAACACACACACATGTTTTGGCACACACCCAGAAGAGAGTCCAAAAATTGACACGTCCTGTTGCTCACAAACTGCGAACCGGGTGAACTATAGTAGGCCTTCCCTCACCTGCCCGCAAGCCTTTGCACAAGGTGTAACAGCCCTCTGCTCTCCCCTCCCGTCAACCTGGCGCTGACAGCAGGGGTCCTTTTCTGGAGGAGTTTCCTTTCAAAGGGACCAATTCTCGGGTGGGTTCAACATTTAGCGGCTCAAGGAGGGTGGATATTCCTTTGTTCATCATCCATTTTACTCAAAAGCAAAAATGTAAGATGGTCCCAAAGCGTTTGCCCAGTTGGAGCAGTATCATACTTCGGGCCCCCACCCCCCAAGCCCCGCCTCTTGCCGCGGCCGGCCCCGGTACACTGCAGGCTTGGGCCCTTGGGTTACTGCGTGCGTCACCAATCGCGCCAAGAAGTCGCAAGAGACCTTAGCGAATCTCAAGCCAGCCTCCGGTCAGCCTGCTTTCTCCCTCTGTGCCTCTCTGCTCTTCTCTCTCTCTCTCTCTCTCTCGCTCTCTCTCTCTCTCTCTCTCTCTCTCTCTCTCTCTCTCTCTCTCTTTCTCGCCCTTTTCCCCCACTCTGATTATCTACCTATCTATCTATCTATCTATCTATCTATCTATGTATCTACCCGTCTACCTACTTATCCATCCGTCCGTCCGTCCGTCCATCCATCCATCCATCGATATCACTTTATCTCTCTCTCTCTCTCTCTCCCTCTCTCTCTCTTTCTCTTTACCTGTCTCTCTCTCTCTCTCTCTCTCTCTCCCTCTCTCTCTCTTTCTCTTTACCTGTCTCTCTCTCTCTCTCTCTCTCTCTTCTACCTCTCGCTCTCTCTCTCTCTCGCTCTCTTTCTCAAGATTTGCCCGCCGTTCCGTCTTTAGGTTCTTGAACAATGTGTGTTTTGATTGTGTTTTATGACTGCATCACCTTCCGGTTCGCCGCCCGCGAGCTGCTCCAAACAGCGTGGAAACCGTCAAGGAGCAACATGAGAAACCTGCGAACGTATTCTAGCGTCAGCAGGGCTAGTTCGCAATACTACACGGCGCCGCAAAGCTTATGATAAATACATATATGTATATAAATATATATATATATATATACATATATATATATATATATGTATTGTGTTAATTTGTCTGATTCCATCGTAAGTTTTCGATCATGCAGGACACACCCATGGTACACATGCGTTTCACCATCAGACATATCAGTGCTACAAGAGCCAGAACTGCCCTCCCTTGCCTTGCCAAACGGTTGTCCTTCCCGCTTGCACGCGAGACAAGTTGAGTGAGTTGTCCTAAAGCATCGGTTGGACTTGGAGAATCCAAGGACCCGGTTCCATGGCAAGGGTCAAAGGGAAGCAGAAAAAGGAGGTCTTCGTACAAAAGGATTCCTCAGGCGGCCGTTCTGTTCGATGCAATGATGCGGTCCTCTGAACCACCAATTGTTGATTGACCGAAAATTTTACTCGGGCCCGAACACGAAAGACTGGGTTCGAAATACGGCGATGTCTTCAGAGTGGACTTTCGACCGGGTCCCGACAAGAAAATCTGCCGCTGATTGCGCGCCAAATGGCATCACTGGGCTCCGCTCCACTCCAGGGCACGCCCAACTCGTTCACCCGCCCAATCTCCCCCGTGCCGTAGTGCTCCTCACAGGGTACCGCGCTGGTCCCTTACCACCATCTACTTTTAGTGAGATACGGGTGTGTCAGCGCACGCCTATATGCGCAAGCTTCCGAGAGCATGACAACCCGCGGCTGCGCGTGGGTGTTTGAAAGTGACGCGACTGACGGCATAGGGCGGGGGGCTGCTTGAAGCGTGTCTCTGCTTGACGCCAGCCAACATTCCGCAATTTTGCCACTCAAGGCTGCGCAAACTCGCAAACCAGCAGATTTTTTGGAGGGTATTGTTTTACAAGGACAGTTGACAATCACCATGAGGGTCCCAACTTCTGTCGATCAGACCCTGCTAAAGACTCCGAACTCCTCGCAGGTTGGATCCAAGGTCTGTGAGAGGTCGATCACTGGGCATTTCAGCTCTCGGCTGAGCGCCAGCATCTCCATCCTTGACTTCTCTGCATTTCCCAGTTACCACGGGTCATGGTCAGTGGTGTTGTTTTGTTTGGAGTTGGTGTTTCTGATGCTTGGGTTTAAAGGGAAACCAACTGTCCACCAAAGCATAACCCAAAACACGCACCGGGTCGATCCTTAGGCTTCAGGGCTTCAGGGACCCAAGACCCAGTTCCCCTGATGAACGGCAGGAAGCCAACCAAAACACCTTCTTCCTTTGGGTGGCTCGTCTTTTTATGTTTTGGAGGACTTCGGAAAACCCAACGGAGTAAAACACCTGCCGATTCGCCTGAATCGGCTGACGGTCAGGGGAGCCCTCCGGAATTTTGGCGGTTTTGGTCGGTCGTCCTTTTGGTTGCAAAAGCAGACCAAAATGGGAAACCAACTCCCAACATGGAAGTGCACATTTGGCCCCTTTCCAAGAGGACAGTGTTTGTTCCAGAAAAATCTGTGCGGTTTCCCTTTCTTGCTGGCTCTCAGCAGGGAATGAGAAATGAACCGGGGGATTCCCTTAAAGGACACCATAAAGGATGGTTTATAGGGGTCATTCCTTCATTCCCTGCTGAGCACAGCAAGCTTTAAAGAAGACCAAAAAAGGGTACCAACTCCAAAAAATGAGACGAGCCACCCGTGTGGGTGGAATCTGATCGAATTGCAGAAGTGGGTATGGGCGAAAATCGAATCACCAGCAAACCGCAGGTTTTAGTCCAAATTTCCATTTACCAGGGCACCCCATTTTGGGGTACCTATTTTTGACAACCACAGCCAAGTGTTGATCACTCAATGTGCCGAGCATCACCATGGGGTTCACCAACTCCGGCAGTATCTTGCGCTCGAACACCCGGGTGCCGTCCCCCAGGATATCCTTTCGGCTCGGATTGGAACAAAATCCGATAGACATGAATCAAATGCGGTGTCCCTACTGGTCCTTCAAGCAAACATTGAAGCAATAGGAAGCAAAGACAACACAACAAAGTCCTTGGCCACAATGATACCATTCTATATGCACGGCGATGGCAAATCAGACTGTGCTTGCACATACCACAATAGAACCGATAGAACAAGGGCTACCCAAAACCAGGCTAAATCCGCAAAACTAATTAAAAAAAGGGACCACCTAAAGAAATACCCTGTTAAGGTTGCTTGTGGCTCACAGAAATTAAACTTGAACTCCCTCCCCCCTTGAAAGCTATGCGAGTCAAAGAAGATCTACAGGAATTACCCACCCTCAATATCCCCCCACATATTTTAGGGTTTCCCTGGGCACTTGTTTTGTGCTTTTCTTTGTTTCCCGAGCCCCAAATGGACGACCTGAAATGCCCAGAGCTCCCCAAATGGAAGACCTAGGTTTTGTTTTGGCTGTTGTTCCGGGAGCTAGCCTCCAAGGCATTAAAACGACGTTGTTCCACCGGGTCGGCCTGGTAAGCCACATTTTGTCCAAAAGATGCAGGGATCAAAGGCCAGGACAAAACAGTTGAATAAGCAAATCACGGTGGGTTCAGGTCAAAAATGACATGTATTCTAAGGAAGAAGCCGGTATACGATCTGTTTATGTTTGGCCTCATTTGTGTATTCATCCTATCAGTAGTGACTTCATTTATGTGTTTCTTTATCACTAAGGGCTTCACCTGTCAAACACTTGAACGATAACGTGGCTGTTTACCTAGAATTGAGGGAACCTGTTCGCCGACGTGTGCCGATACGCAAAAAACCTTCAGAATTAAACCACCAGGGGACCGCAGGATTCAGTCCAAATCAGCTTCCCTCTAATTTGTGCCTTGGATTGGCTGTCTGGAGGTTTGGGGGGTGCTTTCCCATTTACACCCGCTAGAAAACGATTCACATCCCCAAAGCACCAATCCAAACCACCAACTGATCTAGGGGTTGATTCCCCATTCTTTTCAACCATCGTTCTTTTCAAAAACCGGATCCGTTTCCCCTGGGTTTTGATGGTTTCCTGAAAAGATTCGGATCCCTGGGTTCAGAATGGAATTGGAAGGTACCCCTAGAACTGAGATCAATTGGGTGTCAAAATCATACCAGGAATTGGACCCATTTACCAGGGCAACCCGTTTTGGGGTTACCCTATTTTTGACAACCACAGCCAATTGAGGGTAACCAGTTAGGGTTGGAAGCAAGGCGTTGGCCCAAGCCATGCATGCTACAAAAAGGCTGTCTAAACAAACATACATACTAGGTCCTCCAGTAGAGAGGTTAGAATAAGGGTACCAACTGTTTTTCTGTAGTCTATTTTAGTAGGGGAACCCTACCCCCAAAAAGGGGTAAAGGGCACTACTGGGGGACCTAGCATATTAACAAAACAGGCATTCCTGTTTGGTTTCTTTGGGGAAAATGAACAACTATGGGCTGGCATGAAACATAAAATGATTCCTCTCCAGTCTCCTGCGACAACAAACACTTCAAGTCCCTCCACCTTTGCCCTCGGTCAACTACACCCAGTCAGAAAGGAGACCAACGCAAAATAACGCAAACCCAGGGTAAAAAAACTTCCGCGTCCCAGTGGGAGTTCGAATCACTTTTCTGGGCGAATCACTTTTCTGCCCGACTCCCTCTAGGATGGGTTTCATCCAGGGTTTCCGTTAAGCAACACTTCCGACACAGCCACTACCCACTCAGGGCCTTTGACTGGCTTCGGCGGAAACTACTGCAGCTCCTAAACCTCTTGAATCTGCTGAAATATGTCAAAGCACCTGTGTAATTTACCTCCACCTCGCTAAAGGATCTGGACATACCATGACATACTTCACCTGATTCAGCCCTCTGATAATTCAAAATCTGGCTGAAACCAAAACTGAAAAACAACCTATCGAAACTAGGAGGCTTTGTTGGTCCTTTCGAAAGGGACCAACAAGGAAGATGCTGCCCGAGGGGAAGTTGCTTTGACACATTGCCCGGTTTTGCAAAAAAGAAAATGGGTCCCCCCTTCTCGTCCAGGCTACCGGTGCAGTACTTTTGTGAGTGGCACATATATGCGGATCGGATTTTTTGCCTTTGATTTGAATGAGCCTAAGGATCCCCTGAATGAAAACTACAAGTTGGATCCTTCAGCTCGTCATTCCAACTGCGGCAAAAGCAAGTTGGACTGGATCTCTATGTGTCTTTTCGGGGGTATCCTTTTGGGGGTTTGTTGGTCCAAAGGGAAACCCAACGGAGCAAAGACATCATTTTGGCGCTCCCCCGGAAATATTGATACATGCAACTTGGCAGACTCACAATGACAAGCCAGTTTGCAGGAGAGAGTAAAACATGTGTTTCACCACCAAAATGGTCCAAACCCAAAAACAAAAAGTCCAGAAACCCAGGGAGGAAGTACCCATATTCCACCCCGTTTGTTTTGCCGAGGTGCGCCGTAAATCCTCTTGCCCTCGTCGTTGATGGGCGCGCCCATGAGCAGCGAGAACTCCTGGACACAAATCCAGCCACCGAACTCAATTTGATGTCCACATCCCGGGTCCCTTAAGACATGATCACAGAGCCTGTCTGGTTCATAAGGTCTCACTTGGAAGGGAACCCGAAACTATTTGAGCTCCCAAACATATCAAGCCTGTCGAGATAGTGTCCTTGAGATGGGTCGGGAGTTAGGGAAGTGGTACCCCAGCAAATGCCAGGTAGCCCCCATGCAAACCCGTGTAACTTAGGGGGTTCCCTGGAAATGTCTCTCTGGCAAGCACCGTAAAGGAGGCTTGTCTTCACTGTACCCTTGTAATGGTTGCCAAGAATTAATACACTGTCCTGCGAATGCGGGGGCGTTTCCCTCCAAAAGTGGTCCAAAGCTCCACTACAAGGGAGCATGCCCCGTCAACCAGCATATTGTTGATCCCAAGTTGTTTAAAACAAACAAACAAACAAAGCTTCCGTCGCAGGCCCTGGGGTGCCCAGCCTCACAAGTTTCCATCACTGGGGCTCATAGAAATGGGTGGTGAACCAATTGAGATCTCGAGGAGCCTAAAAGTAGAGTATGGCGCCCGGTTGCATCCCTTCACATCCGATCGAGCGGATTGGGAGAAAGAAGCAAAGATTGATTTGCCCACTAAGTGGCTAACATCTGAAACGGAACTATTGGCCCAAACAAGTCGAGACAACTTTTGATTTGCCACTAAGTGGCTAAAATCCGAAACGGAACTCAGGGAGTGTCCACTATGCTCCGCTAAGCTCCACTGTCCACAGCTTTCGCGGCGGAAACCAATCCTCGTGGGGCTGGTAGGGCACCACCAAGACCAGCGAAGCGCCGGGCTGTGCTTTGCGAACCTATCAAAGCAACGAGCAACAAAAACCTGACAAAAGTCCAGGAAGAAACCATGTCTCGAAAACAACGCAATGTCCAGAAAAACCTGTAAGCAATATTCAGCCCAGAAGTTGGCTCGACAATGGCAATTCCAACCAACTTCTGGGCTAAATATTGCTTACAAGCCTCAAAAAGCAGCTGGCTAAAAGAAGTGGGCCCACATGGCCAATTCTAGCCCCCTGTTAATTCGGAAAAAACAGAGGTGTTTCAAGGGAAACCAAAGGGAAAGCCTGCCGTTTCTGGAGTTTCCGATTTGGATGTTTCTTTGCTTGAGGACCCATTTTGAAGTTGTTTTAAAGAGAAATCAAAAGGAAACCGATGCCATTGTTCGGGGTCCAAATCCTACAACGAACGTGCCCATTGAATAGGAAACTCCTGCAGCCTCACCTTGTAAGCTGAGTTTCTTTGCAGGGTGCTTCAAAGGAACCCATAAAGGGTGGTGCACAATAGGGAAACCCCCAAAATTGGTGGCTTCCTGTTGGTTTTGTGTTTTCTTTTATTTTCCCTAGGGTCCGACCATACGGCTGTCTCTCAAAATAGGACTCAGAACCCCCACTCCCCAAAAAAGAGAGAGAAAAATACAGAAAAAAGGAGGACAAAAGAAGGAGAGCGGTTTTCCCTTTGGTTTCCCTTGACACCACCCCAAAAACCAGTACCAACACCACCAAAGATCGCTCCAAAACGCAGGGAGCGCTCTGGAGGCCCGGGATGGCTGCAGCTCAGAGTGCCTAAACTTTTTGGGGGGCTGGTTTAAAGGGAAACCATGGGGTGGAGCCAATCAAAGGTTCCCACTAAGAATGGGGACGAAAAGGGAGAACTGGAAGGTGAGCACCTTGTGACATACGAAAAATGGGAACCCAGGGGGAATTGCTAAACGGTCAGATCAGGTCGATTCACTTTGGATGCTCGCAAGTGGTAAACAGACATCGACTCGAAAAAAAGGAGGTTGAAACGGTTCCTTTGAGATCCGCACACAACAAATAAGTGGTTCCTGAACAGCGGCGGAGGGGGGGGCACTGTGAGACTGGTTGAAAAATGCAAGGCATGGGCAACTGGTTCACGTAAAGGGAAGGGAAATCCCTATTGAAGGAAGGCTCCCTGGTATGGCAGGCAGCCCTAGGAAGCCCAGTGAACGATTGCCTACTGACCCTGGTATCCAATCCTTGGGGTTGATCAGTCTAGCGAGAACCGAGGCGTTCCACCCCTCCTTCCGGAGCAACTTGCGTCTCTAAGGAAACCGGCCAAACCTGCTAAACCACACCAAGAAGCCACCAGCAGAAATCAAAACATCTATATAAACACTGTCAACTCACCTGGCAAAGCCCGGTTGCAATGTCAATGTGAATACTCCGCACTTTTGCCAACCCAGAAACATGTGTGCACCGTGTCAAGCATTCGGACTCATGTCGCAGCCCAACTCTTATCCTAAGCAAGCTGTGTATGTACAAATAGTAATGCTATTGATGAACATTGAACATGCTAATGACTTTTCGCCAGAATAGTAACAAACATTACAGACCATAACAGTAACCATAATCATGAAACTGTGCATAAAGACAAACCCCTGCAAACACACTCATATGCACATATTCATATCCATATACACACATAAAACTCCTTTCCCGCAATCACAACTTATACTTCTTTGCGCGCCATGTTCTTCACTCTTTTCACATCCAACCACAAACCCATGCCACCTCCAGACCAAAACCCACGGCATGACTCATCCAGACCCAGACCCCGCCTGCTCAACGGCAGTCTTCAGGCGTTGTGCAAACTCTTCGGCCACCTGATGCCCTCCCTCCCCCGCCGCCCGCTCCTATGACCAGGTTTTTCAGGGGCTGCACAAATGTACATAGGTGGCTCTCATGAGTTAAATGGGATATACCCCGTCCATTTAGGCTCTTGAGGTCACCAATTGTCATATATCACGCACTTTGAGCGGCTTCAATGTTCACCTGTCTGGTGCCATGCTCGAAGGGTTTACTTGCAACCAGGGACATGGAACAGCTTTCAGGTCGGTTGATTCGCTTTGGGCAAGTGAGGCTGCGGGTTGTGTTTCCATCAAGCGCCTGAACAGTATGGCAACCAAAGAATAAGTGATCCCCCCAACACACGATCCGCGAGCGCGGGCGTCTCTTTGCCGCTGAGCATCACGGATTGAAATGGCCCAAGAAGCCCTTTTGGGGCAGGGGGGAGGTTATATAAAGCCTGGACAACCAGAGAAGATAGAGTATAACACAGGGAGAAACAAAGTAAAACTGCAAATAGAAAAATATAGTATCCCCACCACTCTTCTGAGAACCGATTCTCCGAACCCTGCCTCTTTCCTTTGCTCCTCCATGGGCGGTAGCAGTGATCCCACCAGTTTGCTCTTCACGGAAGGATTGAGATAAACGTCCTCGGAAGCCAGATGCCCATGGGGAGTCATCCGGATAGTGGCAACCGCAATCCGAGCTACAACAAACAGAATTACACAGGTGGAAACATCTCCGTGGGCAATATCACAGGCAATCTCGAAGCAACGGGCATCGAGCGGGTCGCTCGGAAACGAACCGCGCAACGTTGCAACTATCATGGATCTGAACAGCTGCCGGCCTTTTCCAGAGACACTCTCTTCCGAGAACCACATCTCAGATCCCATGAGGGTTAAGACACAAGAGCCATCAGCTCGATGTGCCGACATCTGATCCTTTGGCATCAACTGCCACTTCCAGCCCAAAGCATTTTTTGCTGAGACAGGGCGTTCGAGGAAAACCAGGGGAACCCGCCCACGTTGGCTCTCCTCCATGGCTCGTCTGCCAACAAGACTTGGGGGAATCCAGTTGTCCCTTTGGCCCAAAGGTACCACCTCCAACACAAAGAGCACGGCGACCCCGGGGCCCTTAAACATCCACCGAAGTGGCCAGTGGCCCATTGGAGGCTTTGAGCTTAAGGTGGGGAGACCCATTTGCTCAGTCGCTGGATTTTTCAGATGTCCCCTTAAGTTGATCCTTTTTTTTCTCTTGCGGCGTCCATTGAAAGTGCCAAAAGTGGGCTGCCAAACAACGAGTCCTTGGCTTCCCGCCTCAAGCCCTCTGCCTTGGCTAGTGGGCTAGGGTCCAGGATTCATCCACTTCCTGCAAGTTTGTGCCCATACAGTGGGTTGCTTCACTGCCGCGAATAGCTGGCTTGGAGTGGGTCAAGGAACCACACTTCATAAGCTGACATGGGGTTTGGGCACCTCTGAAGGTCCAAGCCACTACGGACTTGGGGTAAGGACCAAGGCTTCCTGCAAACATAATCCCACTTCAAGGAAACTCACCTTAAACTGGCAACCAACATGTGATGTGTGACACCACAAAACCCCCCCAATCTACCGTATTTTATCATGGTTTTTGGTTGATTTATTCAAGCGCTATTTAGGGCATCCGTACAGACCCCTCTTAACATTACCAAAGCCTTAGGCCGAGCGTCGTTGCCGCCCAGTGACAGCACCACCCACTGCACGTTGCTGAGCCGCTTGAGATGTTCAACGGATCGGATGACGCCGTCACTATCCACGGCATACTCTTTGTCCTATCAGGGCAGCCCAAAAGGAAACATGTTCGCAACATTTTCGACCATGTTCAGGGTTCTTTGGAAAACTCGCCCGAATTGTCGCACCATGTTCAGGGTTCCTTTGGAAAACTCGCCCGAATTCTCGCACCATGTTCAGGGCTCCTTTGGAAACCTCGCCCGACTTTGCCAGAACCAATGATGGCTTCGGAATAATTTGGAGAACAATGCAAATATTCACAGGAGAGCCCAAAAAATGACTCAATATCATGTCAATATCCACTTGAAGCGGACAACCCCAGAGTAGTTGGATGAATCTGAAGCTGATATTCACAACCCGCACAAGCGTTTGTCCCTTGCTCATCATGTTGTTTGGGTTAGGAACTAAGTCATGCACGAGCGAGATCCGCGGCTCGTCTGCAAACCATCAGCGGCGCTGGGAGTGAACCCAATGGATCCTTCACATGGCAGTTTGCGTGGCTTCCTTGATGCAATTCGGGAAGGCTTACGGTCTTGCATACCCGTGGCTCAAAATGCCAAGGCACTGAATTCGCGTCAAGCTGCATTTCGCCCTTTCAACCACAACCTCAAAGAGGTCCCATTGGTCCTCCTGTTCCGACTCTATGTTTCTCTTTTACCAATCCTTTTCTCTTCTCTCTCTCATCCAACAGCACGCTCAAGAGGCCTCATCGTCCTCGAAATCGACCTGTTGCCGAGCTTTCGCATAGACATCCCAAGGGTTGTCCTGAGCATCATCGGCAGAGCCACAAACAACCGAATGTGTCACAACTTGTGCTCATGTCCATTCCTGACCCCCACACCCCAACAAAGCTTCTTAGTTACCTTATGGGGCTAGAGCGCTCTGCATGTAATTCCCAATGCCAGTTGCTGTAAGTGCTTCTTGTTCACTTCCTGTAAAAGCAAAAAACAAACAAACAAAAAACAAGTGCGACCGCAAAATATTTTCTCCCAAAACCGCCGACCCTCGAATCTAGCTTCCACGCCCAAACAATGAGATTGTACTGCGCCAAAGTCAACAATCAACAAGGGTATTTATTTACTTACCACTAAAAATAACGTGGAGGGTGAGGTGGGGCCGGGCGATCCGTGACACCCCCCCCCCCCACACGTTGCGCCCGCCCGATGCTTTGCGTTCCAGGCGCTGAGGCCTTGCGCTCGGCGAAGTCGAAGGTGGTCATCTGGTCCACCGCGAGGTTCACGCACTGCAGCTGCCTCACCTGGCGAAAAGGTTGGCGATTCACGCGGCGATTCAACATATTCACCTCGAAAAAGAAATGCAACAGAAATCATTCATGGTGCAACCTGTACAAATATGGTACGTAGGGGTAACTGGATCCACTTGGCCAGTGGGCAATAGAAATAGTGACGTATAGTGATCACACGTTCTTCCAACTGAAAATGGGCAACAAATAGGCGGCCCTATTCTAGCTGAGTGCTACTCACTAGGCTTGGAAGAGATGTTAGACAACCGTGGCAAGGACTCTTCTTAACCATTTCCTTTCCCTTGAAGGGCTTCCCAACAAAACATGTCATGTCCCTGGTTAGTTCACCTACAAGCTGGACTCCGACTAAATGCTGTAGGTGAACCACATCCAACCTTAAAACCCCGGTGACTTGTTTATATAGTGTTGTTCCCCTACTTGCAATATACAGGGCGTGCACCGTACCTTTACGCGAGCAGAAAAGGTGCACCTGGAAATCTCCCACTCCTGGGTTGGTTTCCAGCTGACACTGTGCAAACAAGGGATATGTCACTAGCTTGTGGGAAAAACTTGTTTACAACCAAGAAGCTGCACGGGGTGATTCGGACCATCCGTTCCAAGCACTGTTGATGCAAACAACAGCTTCTTCCTCAGTCAAAAAACCATGTGTGGTCATTCTCATGGGGAACCTTGGCGGCTGGGCATCAAGGGGTTGGCCTCAACTGCCCGCATTGATTGCAGCAGGACCCCCTGAGAGTCAGAACGCTACTTGGGAGGCATCATGCCCCATAACTACAGCCAAAATCACAGACTGTGGCATTTTCATGGGTACGGACCGAAGGACCATGTGCCGATAACAACAGGCCGGGAATCTAAAGACTCGGACACTGCATTTTCCATTGGTCAGTGGGGAACACTGTCCTGTTCCAACGCATGAAGCAGGGTCAAAGGTCAATCCAAGGTGCAAACACAGCCAAAAGTGAGATGGACACCTCCAAGGCTTACTATATCTCCACACAACCTGTGTGTTCTTGTTATGCCGTTGGCTAAGGGAAGGCGCCTGATCACATTCAAAAGGCCCGGAGCAAAAGAACCCAAAGCAAATCAGGACCGGGAGGCCTGACTTTCTGGCGAACGTAGGGCAAGCACTGGCAAGCACTGGCAAGCACGTAGGAAAAAGGTGTCTTCTTGCTTTGGGCAACTAAACTGGCCCACCAGTCCTAAACGAGCTCTCAGGCTTCCTTGACAAAGCATGCTTGCAACTTCAGAAAACATCTACTTCGACTTGCTTCAGTCCTTGGACAAAAAGGTGGTGACAGATTCCCTTTAAGACCGGCTCAAACATATTCTTAAACAAAAAAAATGGAAGAAACTGGTAAAGCTGATGGCTATAGTTCGACCATGCCAAAGGGCAACCAGGCAACGTTGAACTGGTGTGATCAACCCAACAATTAAAAAGACCCCAGGCTTTGGGCACAGTTTGCTGCCGGCTTCATGGTGAGGGGGTGATGACATTAGCGCCGATGCCGACTTGTTTCACTTCGCAAGGCAAAGTGTTGTTGTTGCAGAAGTGACAATTCTGACCCGTTGAAGCTGTGGCGCGACTGCCTGCATCAACCGGCAGAGAACTTTGGCTCTCCCCGTCTACGTCTCTGCCACGCCTTGGCATTTCTCGAATTCGCCAACTGCTCTCTCAGCCGAACTCGCAAGTGGCGCTTCGGCGTCTGAAGCCTGAGAAGCACAGGATCATGGTCAAAGCTTTCCTCTTGGCTTTGCTTCACACAGTAATTGCCGAGCTGCAAGGAAAACGCAGACAGACTGACGGGCGACGGAACAGGACAGGAAGAACAGAGTCAGGCAAGCAGGCAGGCAGAAGCACCGACACGGTAGGCGCAGACGAACACAGGCAGACAGGCAGACAGGCAGACACGCAGACGCGCAGACACGCAGACACACAAACGCACGACGCTCAAACGCGCGGGCGTGGAAACGCGCGAGTCGCGCGAGTGGCGCGAGACGTGAGACACGCGAGACACGCGAGACACGCCAGACATTCAGACTCGCAGACCCACAAACTCATAGACGCACAAACACGCAGACACATACAAACACGCAAACACGCAGACCCACAGACCCACAGACCCATGGCACGGACAGACGCACAGACAGACGCACAGATGCACAGACACGCAGACACACAGATACACAGACAAACGCACAGAAGCACAGACACACGGACACATACACGTATACACCAGACACGCCGACGCACAGACAGATCGACACAGAGGCAGACCGACACACGGACAGACACACGGCTACACTGAACATAGACACACACAGACCGACATGCAGACTGACACACAGACACACACACACACACAAACAGACACATAGACAGAGACAGAGACAGACAGACTATGGGCGAAAGCGAAAGCTTATTTCAGGTCGACTCGCTTTGGGCAAGCGCCGGAAAGACAGGTGGATGTCTGTTTTGGGGACCCCCCAAAAGGCGGCTTTGCTTTTGGGTTCCAATTCTTGTTTCAGCAGATTCGGATCCTGGTGCTCCTGATTCGTGGCGACTAATCTTGGCCATCCCAAGCAAGTCAGCCCGAATCAAAGAAACAACTTACATGAGAAATCATGGCTCAAGGCCAGCCCCTTGAAAAACGACAGAAACGGGGGTATCCTCAAAAAGACACCCTGCTCCTGCCGCTGACAGAAAGTTAAGTTGGGCCTGTCTGGAAACCTGCTGGGTTGTGCAAAACGCGGACCCGTTTTCTAAGGGCAGCTCCAACCGGGGAAGCAGACGTTCCAGTTTTGCAATTGCCTGAAGGGCAACACCCAATTTAGCAAACGCATGGCACTGGTTTCGCCCCTTATTTCATCGTTTTGGCTGGGCAAAAATAGAAAACGTGCCCACAAAATATACAACGGTTCACGAAAGCTGACACCTGTTTGTGCCAGAACGGCAAACCACATCGCGCGAAACGCTTTCGCCGAGCAGCCAGTAAAAGTTGTCCAGGATGGAGTCCCCCATTAAAACCACCTGACTCGCTCACACATGCTCACATTGTTTCGGCCCGACATGGGTATGTCTCAAAATTAGGGATATTTATCAGAACCCCTCAATGGTCGTTGGATGGCCCTAAAATAGAAACCCCGAAGAAAGGTCACTTAACAAACCATGTGACAGCTTGGAGTTTCCTTCCAAAGCATGCCCTCAAAAAGTCAGCAATTCATAGCGCCCCGCACATTTGCCCTCCGCGATTTGGGTGCTCCAACTGAAATGTATCGCCCGGCATGCCTTTTTTGAGGCTCGCCTTCAGCTTGGTTGAAAGGAACTCAAGGAACACCCACCCACTTTGGGCTCAAGGGCTTCAAAGGGGGAAAGGAAACACCGAACCGTTGGGGAGCCGTGGATTTGGGGTCCACTTTTCACATGCCCGCGGTCAAAGGGATCCCCCAAATGGCCCGGCTGGCTTTTGGTCCCCCCACCAAACACAAAAAGGAAAGAGGGTATCCCGAACCCCAAGACACTTGTTATTTCGCCTCAACAACCCCACCCCAGTGGATCCAGGCGCTTGCCTGCGGGAACAATGAATGTGTTGCATCTTGCCATGGATGGTTGCTCTTGGGTACCTCACTTCCTGAGTGGATTGGGCAGACAAGTAGCTAAACAGCTAAACTGTTTGTTTGTCACTAAAGCGGTCCAGACCCAACAAGTGACTGAAGCTCCAGAAACCCAGGGAATGAGCTATGACGTTCACCCCGGACTTACAAACCCATGTTTATTAACATAGGGGGTGTGCCTCTCTTAAAGTGACAAATCCCCACTGCGACCAGCAACCCCCCCCCTAATTAATTTATTAATCGACCAGGGGCGTATTAACCCGGGCTCATACCGGACTGTCCTCAGATCCCCTGCTAAAAGTTTAACTTGTGAGTTAGATGCGGAAACCCAACCGCGAAACTCACTAAAAACAACCAAAACATGTAAAAACAAGTACTAGTAACATCAACTAAAAAAAACACTAAACGCAACTAAAAACAACTAAAACCAACCAAAACCTGAGCAACCGCACGACTCGCTGGTTCCGAAACTCCGAACCGAGAGGAACATGGACTCGCTCTCCCGGCCTTGGGAGCATCATCCTTGGTGGCCCGAAGGCTGCCTGATGCGAGAAACAAAAGCCGAGCTGGGTGCTGCCGGTGCGAAAAATCCAGCGGGTTCCAACTCTGTCTAATCGTAAAATGACCTTGCGGTTGGGGTTGGAGGGTCCCAGGGTTGGGGTGCGGTTGTGTTTCTTGGTAAGTTTGGTCATCCCCTGATGTGTGTTCTTGTTCACCTTTGAAATCAGGACTACTGTAAGGTTGAAGGGTGATGGGAATCCAGCTGATAGCAAGCCCCTGGCTGATAAATAGTAGGGGCTGCAGACTGTCTTAGAGGGCATCCTTTACTTTCTTGGGCAAGAAGCGACTTTTTCTCCGGATTGATTCATCCGAAGTCAATGTTCGGAAAAGAGTCCCGGTCTCGCTGGGCCCCCGTGTTTCGCCTCGCCGCGCCGGCCGCACGACGGAGATGGCGCACAGCGCGGAGATAGCGCACAGTGTGCCGCTCGGCGTTGATCGCTGCCTGCGACGGTGATCCCTTCGTGGGGTGAAAAGTCAGCAGTGGGATGTGTCTCGTTTTTAGGGGACGCCCAAAGAATGGGCGCATGGAGCTTTCCTAACCATCAGAGTGGACCGGGAGGTTTGCAGGAAGGGAAACGAACCACACCCCTGTCAGCTAGCATTGTTGGAAGGGTGGTGACTGGTTTCCGCTCCGTGTGGAGTTTTGCCTGACCCCATGGTTCGTCAACAACCAGTTTTGCTAGCCAGATCCTTGGTCAACAACCAGTTGTGGCTATCCAAATCCTTGTTGCCCTTGCAAGCAGCGCCTTTCCTTTTGCCAAAGGCCTACCGCTCGCCGCCCGCAACAAGTAGCTGAGTTGGATCCCGTCACTTCCGATCCCAAAATGGTCGCAAGTGACTCAAGTCCAGGAGCCGAGGGAGCGAGGTTCCCTGTTTGGAGGGAACAGGTTTTTTCTCCCGGGCTTCTACAGAGTCCCTTGATTTCCCAAAACAGAAAAGGTTTGACAGGAAAACCCCGAGCTTTGGCGGTAAAACCTGGCAGTCAAACTGCAGAAAGCCTCTGTTCATGAAATGACAAACCACGAATTCTGGAAATATAGGGTCAAAATGAATCCAGCAGGGGACCGCAGGTTTTTAGTCCTTGTTTCCATTTGTCAGGGTTCAATTTCAGGTAGACCAATTGTGGACCCACCCAGAAATGAAAACTGGTATGCCAATTTCTGACCAATTTTTGACCCAATGAACAATGAACAAACAGTACATCCATCTTATGCCATTGGATTGCATGGCTTCCACTTCATGGGATCGCCTCTGAGTTGAAGTGCTCCAAACGCGGCTCGGCGCGCTGAGACCAGACCAACTCAGCGCAAACGCCGGGGCTGCGGCCAACGCGTCAACCATGGCGGAGGATGATGTCCGCACGGCTGGATGGGATATCCGGCTTGGAAAAAATAAAGACACCGAAGGAACGTGACTCAAAAGTGGCAGATGGTTGAAATCGCACACTGGATGCGATTCAGCGTACCCCTGAAAATGCATTGACGCTGGTTTGTGACTCATTTTTGCTGCCTTTGGAGAATCTATAAGAGATTTGGGCTGTGCCTCACAACCAATTCACTGTCACGGGGCTACCCTTTTGCCGAGGCACAAGCTTTGGTTTCACGGAGGCAAAGATGTCCAACTCGGAGGTCTAAACCCTCGTGAATTCACTGCCCAGAGTCAAGCCTGCAATCCCCAAAGAACATCTGGATCTATGAAATCCCTCAAGGACCTCGGACATGGTTGAGCTCGTACCGAGCTCGGTCATTGCCCAGATAGCTGGGGCGTTTCAAATGGCCGTCCGAGCACTTCGGCTGAAGTCAGGCACAAGACTCCCTGACAAAAATGGCCCACCAAAAAAGTACCCTTAAAAAGGAACAGGCATTTCGCCCTTCTCATTGGCACGCAAGTGGGCGACTTGCCCATTGCCGAGTGGTGACGTGGCTCGTGCCGAACCACATGCCGCGGTTCTGTTCTTGCTTGTTCTCAGGGACTAAGGGAAGTAAGAAAATTACCCTGAAATGATAGGGCTGTGACTCAAAATTAACGACCTAGGGTTACGCAGGTTTTAGTCTTTGGTTCCATCTACCAAGGTGCCATTTTGGTTCGTTTATTTGAGCCACAGCCATAGGTCAATAGTATGCTGCGGTGTCCTTTCTTCCCACGGCTAGCAGGTTTCAGTAGCCTGGTGGAGAAGAAGGGGGCCCTTGGGTCCCTCGTCCGGTTGGTCAACCGCATCGGAAGGTCGGGGTTAGGTTCGGCCCCCTGGCAAGGTGCCCAAAGAAGACAAACAGGGTGTCAAACGGGCGGTTCTGAAGAAATGAATAGTCCACTCCCTAGCGATTTCCATCAGCGGCCAGTCACAATATGTCACAATCACAGGGTACGTAGCACCCAAAGTGCACAGAGCAATCATGAGCCAGACCTCTCAAATAGGTTGATCTTGCCGCTTCAAACAGCAACACAGCAAAACCAAATCCGCCGTTGGAACTGGAGGTCCAAGGCCTTCTCGAACGCGTAATAGGAGTTTTGAATCGTTGCGACCAGTTCGGCAACATCCAGAATTTGTTTGACGTCACGCATTGACCCAGAGCATGTCACACATCTTTTGCACTTCAGCAAATTCTGATCTCTGAATTTCGGGGCGCCTTGCAGGTTTCTGCAGGGCGCTGCATGAAACACGCAAGTCCGGAGGCAGCTTGTAGCTGAAAACTGAAATCTGTCGTCCACTGGCAACATCAAGGTCTGACCCCCTGAAGTTCGTTCCCAGGATTCCTTTAAGAATTCGTTTTCGAACAGCATGTGGCACGGATTGATCCCCATAGCCGTGTGGAAGAAGAATATTCCTTCAGATCAACAGCTTTGGGTTGTGGAGAGAACAAGCTGCAACCGGACATCACGAGTACTATCTCGCTGAAGCTCTCTGAAGCCCAGGACCAACGCCCAGGTAACGTTCACAGGGTATGCCTGAGATGTCCGGTCCATATTAGAGCATTCCTGAAAACAAAGGGAAATACCCTACAATATATGTTGCCGAAAAAGTGATGCTCAAGAGCAATCAATCATTCACAAAAGGGGACCACTAAGATTGAGCCCAGCGTCAAATAGAGCACCTGGTCTGTTGGCGGGGGTCCCCAAAGGGGAGTGTGAAGGGGGCATCAAGTGCTGTTCAAAATTTGTGAGCAACCATGCTGCATCGCGAGATGTCTGCAGTCATGAAAGTCCTCGAAGGGTCGATGAACCTTTCTGACAAATGGATCCACTGGGCTTGCCAAACGTGTCTGTACAGCCGGCAATGGCCCGAGGCTTCGAAAAAGCTCGCTCAAAAAAGGGCCCTCGCCCAAAACGAAAAACAATGGCGTCGCTCGCAGAAAGAGACCTGCAGCGTAGGGAGGGGGGATTCGTTTTTGTGTGACTCCAAACCTGTGTCTGTTGGGCCCTTAAACAAACAGGTGAAATGTAGGTTAAAAAGCGGGCTTTGGGTCTGAAAAACGGCCCTTGCAATGCGGTAAAACCCACAAACAGGTCTGGGTAAGAATTATAGCATCGCAGTTTTAAGCGGTCCAAACCATTGCTTCGCCGTGTTGGTATGTCTTCCTGGTTGTTTGCATTGTTTTGATTCGTCCGTTTAGTGAGGTGAAATAACAGCCCTTGTAGAAAGTCGGGCTTAAGCCAATCCTGAAGATGTCACCGCCTGTGGCGAGTTTTGACTTTAGGTCATGCGTAGTGTTGCTGGTCATCAACTGTTTGGGGAGGGTATGAGTGTTTCGCAAAATGGCGGACCACCCTTTTGGTTGGTATTTAAGGGAAACCAAAAGGAAACCAACCAACTCAGCCTCTTTGGTTTGATTTTGGCAGGAAGGGGACGGCAACAGATCAACACTATATTTACTATCATCAAGCAGTTAACTAAATCATCCTCCAATTCTTCATCGCTCCCACACAAAATTAAGCTCTCAGATCTTGCTTTCACTGCAAAAGCCCTCGGGTCCTAACATCGCAAGTCGGGATTCTAGAAGGATACATTTCAGCCATGAAAATCACATTTACCACTCACTTCCGATCGAGTGGATGGGCTAAAACACAGGAACCAATGTCCTTTGTTTGCCACTAAAACGGTCTTTGAACATCCTTTGCCTAAAGGGAGCCCAGTCAGTCCACACGTGCCCAGACATTAGCTTGGGCGAGATTTGCGCCATCCTCTTTGTTTCAGTACAGTGACCGCGTCTTGAAAGGAGAATCCGGAACAAACAAACGAGGAAAAGCAAAAACATGCTATTCAGCATGCAAGTATTGCCAACCATTCTTCATCTTAGGCCCCCCGCCAGACGCGCCAAATAGGAGTGGTTGGCTCCTCAAGCGTCCGCGGTCAACTGCGATGGGCCTGGACAATTCACAAGGCGAATGACTTAGACCACATGCCTTCTGATTCTTGCTGGCCGACGTCAGAATTAGAGCATAAAGGTCTTTGCCAAACAACACAAATGCATGACAGGCCAATCAGCTCAGTTCAGTCTGTGGTTTTGGCTGGCAGGCAAATAGCGAACCCCAGGAAGGTTCAAGCGTTAAAGGGTGGAAACCAAGCTATGGTACCCTCAATCGAACAGCACCAATTCCAATAACCATCAGAGAACATCTGTTGTTGCCTGCATCCCACACTGCAACTCAACCCAAGCAGCTGTCCAAACACACCCAATGTTTCCGAGGGGATGAAGCATGACCTATAGTGAAGTTTGCTGACAGCATCAGAATGTGTTTTATTTTTCAACACGCAAAACAAGATTCAAACAACTGTTTTAACCTCAATTATGGTTGTCGTTTTGGAAGGGATGTTATCATGGCATACCGGGAAGTGCTTGGGAACCTCCTTGCATCTTGCCCCAGCCCATACTGCACTTGCCCTTAAGAGCCTTGCGCGTGCGTCTCATTGCAAACCACGCCCTTGAAACAATGTCTTGCTTGAGTTGGCATGCCTGGCTCAGCTGGCAGCGACCACTTTCCTAAGCAGGTTTGCACCAAACCGCTCGAAGCATCCGTCCTCACTTGAACGGGACCCATGTCAAAGCCGGTCAACAGAATACAATTATTCTTGCACAGCTCACGTTGCCAAAGCTTGCCCCAAGCCCACATAAACTTCTTCATGCCTCACTGTTGCAAGCACAGCGAAATGACCCATCCGATTTCAGCAATACATGTCAAGTGTTCCTCCTCCTCTCCTTATTCGAATGTATTAGTATGCCACATAGGATAAATATCGGATTAAGCAAGGCGATACATAGGGAGCACAAGACATCGTGCCATACTCACTAAGCTACACGTTGCTGTTGTTTCTTTGTCATGTTCAACATACGCCTGCCTAGTTTGCACACTTCCCGTCCTCCGCAGAAGCATTAACGGATGTCACCTGACGTCAAGTCCTCGGACGGCAAGTCTGCGCCGCTTGCCCGTGGCGTGTAAGCCAATCGAAGGAAGACTCGTGCCATATCAAAACGAGGGACCCTTGCGAAGTGTGGAGGATTCAAGGAAACCAACAGGAATGTTTTTCGGGAATGCGTTTGAGTGGAACATTGTGCACACTAGTGCGATAGGAGCCACGGTCAACACTCAATTGTTTGCCAACTGACCTGGAAATGACCTCCTATTCCTAGCAGTTATTTGGAATCTGCACCTCGCGTCATCACCTTTACTACGGTACGTCCGGAGGACAATTGTGGGCACGTCCACTTGGCTTGCGAGGCTTTGCAAAGCTTGGTATGGGTCCCAGGATTGACTGGACAGAAATCGCTTTCGCGATCTGCAACTTTTGACATTCCGACACTTGGCCATGGGTCTAAAATGTGTGGTGCACCTACCCCAAAATGGGATCCCATTGGTTTTGACCCACAGCCATTTTGACATTTCAGCCCAAGGCTTTCCTGTTTCAATCGGCCGGCAACAAACAACAGACAGGTCACCCTTATGCAGCTGGTTGATTCTTCCAGGGCAACGCGCCAAACCTAAATCAGCATGAGTGAATGGGTTTGAAGTGGTGTTTCTAGGGGTTGATTCCATTTCCCTTCTTTGCAGCCATCGTTCTTTCCAAAAACCGGATCCGGCCGTTTTCCCTGGGTTTCCGGAGGTTTTCTAGAAACATTGGGATCCCTGGGAAGAATGGGGAAGGTACCCCTCGGGCTTTGGGACCCCCCCTCCGCCTGCCCTCGCTGGACACCCGGCAGTGAATCAACCCCAGGGCCGTGGGGACCCACGCAAGGAGGTGCAACCTTGGCAAAAAAGCGGCCGAAGCCAAGCGACAGAGGGCTTCCGCCAAAAGAGCCTTTATGATTTCAATGGGATGAACAATCTTTGTGACTTTTCTATCCCTTTAAACCGTCAATTTTGGCAATATAGATGAATACCGCTGCTTTCAGCTTGATTCTACTTGTGGACTTTGCTCTGGAGATGGTCAACATCCCACCAAAAGGGTGGGTTCCCTAGTTCTATTTAACTTCCTGAGAGTTCAATATGGAAGTGGGTTGGCCAATCAACAATCAATACAATTTAATTACAAAGGGGATCCCTTTCGCATTCAATCCAAAAGGTCGCGTGTGCCACATCCGGACAAGACAAACACAACCGCTGTTAGTATACGGTATGTAAACACCAACATGTGGTGCGTCCATGCCTCGTGATGGGTTTATTTGCGCCTTGACTCGATTCAACCGTACTCGTGACTCGTGACGCTGTCCAGCTTGCTTTCAATAAGGCTGGACTCCAACTCTGAGAGTACTGCAAAAACCTACTCAACGCTCAGAGCAACTTTGCGGTGTGTGTTCCAATCCTGAATGATGAGAGGCAACCAGGTACTAGTTGGGTTCAAACTCTAGCAGATCGCATGTTAAAAACGCATCCGCTAATCAGATCAAAGATGCTGGAAAATGCTTTCGGCTGATAAAGCCATTAGCACCCGGACAGCCCCTTTGAGCTTGTTATCTGCACTTCCCCCACTCCTTCCAGGCACTCTTACTAATAGAACATGGATCACAACCCAAGGCAATAGTGGGTTTTTCAACAGACCGGTTGGTGAAAAGACTGATCACTTTGAGGCTTTTCCTCACTTCCCGAGTGAATTGGCCAATAAAAGTCTAAGCCTTTTATTTACTGCTAAAATGTCCATGGGTCAAAAACCCGTACCCAACGTGAACATCCCAATCCCCACTAAAATCCCGACTACAATGGGTGGTGCACCTACCACAAAATGGGGTTTGACAACCACAGCCAAATGGTCCAAACCAAGTGGCTCAACTGCAGGGACTCAGGGAGCGAGTTTCATCTACCGTCGGGCCGCCTGAAAATTGAACCACCGTCTGTGCTTGGCCCAGATCAAAACCTGGCGGATTCATGGGATGCTCCCCCCTTGATCTGGAGAACCTCTTTGAGACACCTTCCTGAGCAACCAGGGGGTCTGACACATGTAAATGACACTTCCATGTCTCAGTTGCGGCAAAGGATCTGCAAATAAAAAGGCAATCACCTTTTGGCCATGGGTCAAAATCCCGTACCCCCAGTGAACATCCCAATCCCCACTAAAATAGGTTCTAAAATGGGTGGTGCACCTACTCCAAAATGGGATCTCATTGGTTTTGACCCACAGCCTGTTGGGACCTTTGCTACAAGTGGACTAACATGGGAAAACCAAAAGGCCCAAAGCTTGGTGTGCAAGTGAGTAGATCTTCAAACATCCTAGTCGAAGAAAAGACAAACCAGCTCTTCGGATCCACCCAAACCAAAACATGAAAAGCGCGCATAGCTGCGCCGATCTTTTCCGGTTGGACTTGTCCTTGCCTGGCCAACCGTCACTTGTCCGGGTTTGATTCTGGCTATGCGCGATGCACATGGGGCCCTCACCTGGATGTGGGCTCTGCTGCCCCAAGGCGCCGCTCAGCGCTGCTTGCAGCTCGCTGCTGACCATCAACTGGCCCAAGCGCTTGGGGACCCGTTACTGGGACAGGGCACCCAAGGCAACTCACTGTACTTGCTGGTGCTCAGCAGGAACGAGGGAATGACCCCTTTAAGCAATCCCTTGTGCTTTGCTTTGCGGAAATCCCCAGGTTCATTCCCAACACCGTTGGTCATTCCCTACCGAGCACCAGCAAGTTAAACCTGCCCCAAAAGACCTTTGTGATGTTGAAGCCAGGAGAAATGGGAGGCTTGTAGGTTCCCTGGCATGGTTGTAGTTGCCTTTCTTCATCAAGCCCTTGATTTATCCGGGGCCCGGACCGGATCAATGAGGAAACCTATGGTCCAACAGCTTGAGTCACAAGTATCTGAAACAAGCAGAACTGAGTTTGGGAGCCAAGACAGACTCGCAAGTCCATTGGGAACGTGCGCCCTCTTTGAATGGAAGGGGAGGGTGGCTCCAAGTCAAACCTGTTCCATGAGCTACTCACTTCGGATCAAGTGGGTTGGTCCGAAAAAGTCTGAACTTTGGTGTACCAAAATGATCTTCCCACCAGCTTCAGATGAATTGTCCCTGTGCATCGTGGCACCTACAGTACAAGGTACGTTGGCTTGCTGGTTCTCAGACATGAGGGACTGACCCCGAAGCAAAGTCATCCCTTCAAAGGTTGATTCCCAAACCCTGAAGCCTGAGGAACCCCAAGGCTCTGTGTTGGTGAGTAGAGGGAACGTGGTCACGCCATGTTGTCCTTTTGCTTCTTGGATTTGTAACAACAGCGGTCCATATAATCATATACATCTCCTCGAAGGATTGAAACATTGGCCTCTTCGCGCCATGTGCTTTCTCTTGCGGCTGATGTTTCAGGGGACATATAGGGACCCTCGTTGTGAAGGATTTCAACTTGTCTTCCGCAGTCATAAACACGCTTATTATGAGAAAAAATGGCAACCTGGACTCCGGCTTTCTAATGGATGCCCATGTCTGACAGAATCGAAAGGCTACCCTTGCATCGAAAAAGATGGCACCTTCAAATGGCACCTGCCTGCATTGGATGTTTGTTCCAACCATCTGTTCTACTGATCTTGTCTTCAAGTTGGCGGTTGCTTGTTGGGAAGATCACGGAAAATAGGTGGTGTCCAAAGACGATGGGTGGTTGGGGAAACAACCGTTTGCGTAGATCCCCTGGAAAGAAAAGTATGGGGGAGCTCACAAGATCGCGCCGAGCCTGCTAAAACAGCAATGGCCTCATGGAGGCTCTTGGGATCACAAGGCTTCGCAAGACCATGCTCACTTAAAGTTCAACCCTGGCATTTACCTAGAGTCTCCATAACCCTTTAAAAATGGGGTCATTACCCTAAATAATGGGGTCATGGACCTATTTTTAAAGGGTCATGGAGACTCCAGGTACATGTTTTTTTGTTCATCATGCTAATCTCCGGCATTGCGCAAACACTCACTTCCGCTCGAGCGGTTTGGCCAAACAAAGTCACCAAATCTGTTTCTTTGCCACGAGAATGGCCCGCCTTCCCAACAGTTACTCAAGCTCCGAGTTTCGAGGTAACATATCGGTCTAGTCTGGCTTGGACCAAACAAAGAATTGACACAATTTCACCCCTCTATAGAAAACACCCCCAAAAATGGGTGAGTTTCCTTTTTTAAGACCACAAAAAAGGGCCACCCTCCAAAAAGACGAGCCACCCGTGTGGTGTTCGCCTTCTCTCTCTCTCTCGCTCTCGAAATTAATCTGGCCAGAGGGGCTGCGGTGCTCTCCGCAGCGATCAAGCCTCCGTCCCGCGAAAAGCGATCCGGTTTTCGGAGATCCGGAGCTCGATGAAATCCACCCAGGCCCTCGAACATTTCCAAAACAAACTTGAACGTATCAATAAGATTAAAATAACTCTAGCTATATTCTGCCACGTGTAGGTGGACATACTTATAACCACAAATTTATCTGTGTATGCATATACAGGTACGAATGAAACGGTAAGTTGAGTCTGTAGAAAATCAAAGAGGGACACAAATACCAAATGTTGATGTCAGGGGGTTGCCTTCTAAATCTCAGCTACCCAGGAGTGGCTTGCCTTGGAAGTCCGAATTCCATGTATGTATGTATGTATGTATGTATGTATGTATGTATGTATGTATGTATGTATGTATGTATGTATGTATGTATGTATGTATGTATGTATGTATGTATGTATGTATGTATGTATGTGTATGTATGTATGTATGTATGTATGTATGTATGTATGTATGTATGTATGTATGTATGTATGTATGTATGTATGTATGTATGTATGTATGTATGTATGTATGTATGTATGTATGTATGTATGTATGTATGTATGTATGTATGTATGTATGTATGTATGTATGTATGTATGTATGTATGTATGTATGTATGCATGCATGCATGCATGCATGCATGCATGCATGTATGTATGTATGTATGTATGTATGTATGTATGTGTGTGTGTGTATGTATGTATGTATGTATGGATGGATGGATGGAAGGATGGAAGGATGGAAGGATGGAAGGATGGAAGGATGGAAGGATGTATGTATCTATGTATGTATCTATGTATGTATCTATGTATGTATGTACGTACGCATGTATGCATGTACGTATTTCCAGGAGTGATAGACTCTCTTTCCACCAACCAAGAAAGTAACAAACATTCTTACGGAAGTGGGTGTCCCTTGTTGTGGTGTTGTGTCTTTCGGGAGAAAAAAAAAAGAAGGAGAACCACCATGTCAGGGGGGGTCCCCTACAACATGAGGGAAGCCCCATTTGTGTGGCTTAAAAACAAACATAAGACAACTAAAAGAAGAACCACCGTGTTGGGGGGGGGTCCCCTA